TAATGATGTCATGATGTGGTATACTGGAGTTGTATAAAATGCTTCTTTAATTGTGATTTGCGGCCATTCCAACGAGATGTTGGTAAGCGCTGCCTTCTGTAACTCAAAGCAACTTCTCTGATCTGAGAAAGTCAACAATTTCTGTCAAAATCTGATTTTAATGTCTGATGGTTATTCAGTACATAAACATTATGAAGTGTTATTCAAAGAGTTTGTCCTGAGTGATCTCTTCTCAGGAAAAGAAAAGAAAACACACAGATCTTTCTAGCGACTAAATATGTGCCCGTTTAACCAAATATAGCCTAAATATGTATTTTATATGGATTTATCCTGTGTTTTCTTTTGAAGATATAGAACTTAGCAGAGGTAAACCCCACTCTTATCTTTTTTATCTAATATGCTCTCTCTGTATCATGCAAAATGATACATTCAAGGGCCGGCAAATAAATGTATAGTATTTACATGAGCATGGTCTACTTTATGTTTTGGATGGAGCACTATGAGATGTAAAGAGAACAGGGAGGACGCGTAAACTCCATCACTTCAAGCCAATGTATCATGTAGTGAATCCCGGCTGTTGGTCGGCTGTTGATCAAGTCCCAGTGCTGTATCTGGTGTTTGTCACAACGCGCTATTATCCAAGTCATCTTGAAAACATTCTTCTTCCAAATGTTGGCTACATATTACGGGTTTTTTCTCTGGCCAGAAGTTCGATGGCAAATCCTCCCTCTTCAAGTTGGCGATCCAACGACCAACCCGTCCGTGGAGGATCAGGAATCAGAAAGGTGGAATAACTCTTTTTTCCACTTTTACCCGATGTATTCCAGCATCCAGCTGCCATGCACGTGGGTATTGTCAGTTTCACTATAGCTCTGGTGAATTTCAATGGTGAAGTCCTCTTGAAATCTTCAATAATTGTTGTTGATTGCAGATGTGTCTAGTAGTTCCCATTGATTTAGCTTGGAAAGCGGGGAGAATGGCGCTAGGCTTACCGCACCGTGACGTCACTGCTGGAAGATGGCAGGAGGGAGGGGTTACTATATTTGGGCAAAAATGGCCGCTCCCAGACTCAGTGATTGGACCGAAAATTATAATTTTTATTTTTTTACTGATTAAGGCTAAATTTATTAAATCACTGCAAACATATTAGTATTAGGTGTAGATAATGATCCATTGATTATTCCTTGCTGACAGGACTTTTCTTTAGGAATCTTAACCAAAAAAGATCCGTAAGACACATAACCATTCTGGTTTTATCACAAGACCATGTTTCCCAGTTAAAGGCCAGGAACTAAACCACTTTTATAATCTTCATTTCTTTTTAAAATTCAATCCCTTTTCAACCTCTGAATTTTATGTATATTAAGATTCTTATGCCCTAAAAGAATATGAAAAACCACAAATGATATTGCTTTGTACACTGCTGACAACTTTGTTCACTACATCTGAGTTGAGCCTGTGGATGAATTCAAAGGTTGACCTCAGAGATTCTATGTTTAGCATATGGTGAAACGCAAAGGATATCAACCAAAATATCAAAAAGCCTTAAATAAAACTCCTAAATGCATCTTTAATCTTTTTAAACAGTTACATGGAAGTGTAATCACCATGGAGGATCTATCCATCACAGAGCCTGGTCTTTGAACAATCCCAACCAATGGACAAGAAGCAGCGTACAGAGAGCTGGTGAACCACTTTGTGGCACCGTGTGGAAAAAAATCATCTGATTCTAAATGTCAACAAAGCAAGGGATATTATTTTAAATTTCAGAAAAAACTTTGAAAAGTTGAAACCTGTTAGCATCCTTGAAGAAGTGGAGGTGGTAGAGGAGTAGAAATACCTTAGTGTTCACCTGGACAACTAGACTGGAGATGCAACTGTGAAGCAGTCTATAGGAAAGGACAGAGCAGACTGGACTTTTTAAGGAAGCTTAGGTCCTTTTGCATTTCCTACATATCTTCTGTGAGTCTGTTGTGGAGAGTGTGATCTCCATCCTCTGCTCGGGTAACAGTATTAGAGCTAATTAGCTCAACAAGCTAATTAAGAAGGCTGGCTCTGTTCTAGAAACGCATCTAGAAGCTCTGGAGATGATTTTATAAAGAAGAATTCTTCATAAATTGAATAATATTATGGACAACAGCAATCATCCTCTTCAGATTTTTAGATAACAACAGAGTGTCTTCAGCCAGAGGCTTCTCCATATGCGGTGCAAGACAGACCTCTAAAGATGATCCCCCTTCCTACACTTATAGTTTATAGTCAGAACCAGGCCGTCTGCGTGTGTGTCGCAGTGAACACAAATGTGCCCCCGCCCCTTCCGCAGACACTCTGGTGCACCTCTTCAAAATTGTAGGTATACCGCAGACAGGAGGCCTCTGATTTGTCAAATCTACATCACTATGCGTATTTCCTGTTTGGTACCTTACTGGCTTGTTTTGTTTGTATGACCACCGTTGTTGAAATCGACTCTTGAAGATGGACCGGCTAGAAGAGCGAGGTTACGTGAGAACGCTGGGACCGTTTTTTCCACCTGGATCCCTGCAACTTTTCGCCCTCATTGTCCTGCGTTGTCACACAAACTTCTCTCCACTTCCTCACCGCCTCGGCTGCATCTAGACCCACGGCTAGTTCATGATTGTCCCTTTTGCGTTGTGGCGTGGGATAAAACAGCGCAGACCATGCTTCAAAATTGAGCATAAATCAAAAATATCTGCAAAAAGCTCGCTGCGACACACTGCTGCAGGAGTATAACCAGCCCTTTAGACAAACTTTATTGTCATCTTGTATAGACAGAGTGTATACAAAACGAAATTTTGTTATGATTTTTAAAGCATTTTGTGACCGAAGCTTCAGCAGGCATTGGTGATCGTAGATGCGAGATCGATGGCTGGTTTGTAGCATTCTGAACGGCACTCTATTATCTAGAGCTGGGCTTGGTCGCTGCCGCCAGGCGCCGCCATGATCATCCACCGTCCATCATCCATCATCTACAGCATCAACACCTACAAACACCTGCTTAAAAAAATGTGTTACTCCAACATTTTATTTCCCTTTGGGATTAATGAAGTTTGTCTAAATAGAATTTTCAATTGAATTGAAATAGTTCTCAATTAACAAAAAAAAATGTGGATGGAATAAGCGGGCATATTGTTGGTGATCTACACAGAACGCACATGCAAAAGAAAAAAGTTGAGCTCTGCCACATTTAAGGGGTCAGACCACATGTGCTGCTGGAAGTTTGAAAATGGCTGTAAAGGAAAGATGAGGTCCTCAGTTAGCATCACATTCAAGCAACGTTAATGACTCTCCAGGACCAACTTCCTCAACCTTGTGCTAACACTTTAAATATCATCAGAAACTACGGACCTATGGATAAAATGGTCTGTTGGAGGATAAACATGTCAATGTAAATGTGACGCTAAGACTTTTCCAATCCTAACTGGCAGAATCGATATGAAACGTTAATCCTACTGAGGGGGGGGTTATGCTGATCCAATCCCATCAGCTGCATCTTAACACTTGTCAGGATCCAGTTATTCTAATGAAGGAGCAGAGCGGACTGCACATCTGCTGCATGTTAGAATATTCCCACTGGAAATTTTACAGAACACTTTTTCTGATCTTCCATTTTATTCCAGTTACTTAGGTACAGAAAAACAATACCACTTCATTATTTTTGTTTTTTAATTAGAAATACTTTTAATTGTTTTCCTATAAAAGGAAAAGTTTAATGTAATTTAATGTCAGGCAGTGATAAAGTTACACAGAGTAGCATTACCATTTTTAATAAGTGCAACAAGTAGGAAGAGAAAAGCCGAATTAAACTCCAGAGTTTGAAAAACGTTGTTAGCTGGAATTTATGTAAAAAAAATAATAATATAGGTTGAACTGCTAAGCAATCTAAAAATGACTGATATAAAATTGCTTTTTTAACTAAAGAGATTTAGGATATAAATAGAAAATGCCCATTAAAAGATAAAGTTCATGATGTTTTGCATACTATGGATACAGACAGAAAGAAAACAAATGTATCAAATGTAACAAATAAGATCAGGACAGTAACAGATGTCATCATTTTGTCTACAAATACAAGACGGACACTGACATTTATTTTGCATATGTCATCACATATTGTCATGCATTGCATCTGTTTTAACTGACTAAAGATGTCCACTTTTTATAGTAATGGCATCTTTTTTAAAGCTGTCAGCACTTTATGGCCTCAGGAGTCCTGGTCATTTGGTTCAGAAATGTTTACAGAGAAATAATAGTGTCCTCCTGCACCGGTCCAGTGCTCCTTTAGCTCTGCATGCTTCTGTACCTCAGTCGTTTGGAAGACATGGTCATTTCTTGTTTTGCTGACAAACCAAATGGAAGAAGAAAAAAAAAATCAGCTCTGCTTCTGTGTGGCAGTGCAGGGGATGCATGTCGCTCCTGTTCTTAAAAACGTTAAAGCTTTATCTCCATCCATCCAAGTTAAAGGTAATATTTGCTGGTATCAGAAGAAGATCCTGCATTTCAGTATTTCAATCCAAAAGACTGAACGAATCTCTGTTTTCTGGCCCTCAATAATTTAAAACTAAAGCTCCTCTCATACCTTGATGATTTCGCCAGCGTATGCCAGACGTACGGAAAATCTGGCAAAAATGCTGGCATAGGTTAGATCAGTTATGGGTACGTTTTGAAACACGCCGGCACATGTCAACATACGGCAAGTATGTCGAGAGATTTTTAGCATGCTCAAAGCTTCCAGATGTATGCCAGCGTATGCTCATCTGTGGGCCATAAGTTATAAATAAGTTATCTGATGGTTCACATACGTTAAGTGTAAATTACTCATTAGTCATGGCGTCTAGCTTATCCAAAACCTATGAGTAACTTGTGCATAACTTATGCGTAACTTATCAAGAACTTTTCTCCTAATGCATATCAAGGTATCTGCCGTGTTCCAGATGAGCGCTGAACGTGTTTCTAACTTCCAGCTACTGTATAATGGCGTATTGGCAGCGTTTTGGTATAAAGGGGGTTCACGGGACTGACTTCATCCCCATCATAGGGTGAGCCAGAAGGTGAGTGATGGATCCTCCCTGCGTTCATGCCCACTACCAACACACTTCTTAGAAGACATGACACTGAAACCTTCTTTCTTTCTTTCTTTTCTTTAATTTTTTTCTTTTTGCGTGCGGTAAATGTTAGCTAAGTTAGTATCGCGATCAAATCTTTTATGCAGGTGCCTCCGGGTGCATCGCTGCCCCCCTCAGGACTCTGGTTTCTGACATTTCATTGGCATTATGCTGCCATGCATTATGCATAAGTTAGGCTGTCGTTGGACATACGCTCTGGACTTGTTAAGAATATGCTATGTATATACACAAAATTAAAAAATACATAGGGTGTGCCAGTGTTTTAGAATATTCTGAGACGTCAGGCATACGCTGGCAAAATCGGCATGGTGTGACAGGACCCTAAAATTAGAAAAATATCTTCTTTTTGTGGTTTTCAACTGTTACTGGAATGGTCCAGAGCCAAAGCTCCTATCCCAGTGGGAACACTGCTGCTCCAACTGGTCCAGCAGTTTGTCAACAGAGTCCTCTTTGTTCTCCAGTTTCAGGTACCGCCTCCCACCTACGAGCTCCAGTCGAGGCCAGCTTCCATGAGTCTGGTCCTCCTCTGCTGCCTCCACAGGGATCCTCACACAGACCTGAGAACAGGTTTCTGCTTCTTTGATTTGAAGGCCTTTGGCCTGATTTTGTCTTTCGAATGGGAGCAGTTCTTTTTTGAAGTGCATCCGACATTTGGCTATGTCAGGTTTAGTCCTGTAGCTCATGCTGTGACAGCGTCTCTGTTGGGCAACAGGGAGGTCACCATCCCCCAGCCTGAGGTTGGACATAGAGCTGGCAGACACAAGGCAGAAGTTTAACTTGGGGAGTGGAGCGGTGTTCAGACTCAAACCGTCTTTGCTGCTTAGTTCTGCCCCTGTCTGTGAAACACTGTCCTCCTGGCAGGGTTTCTGCAGGTTAAAATGGGATGAGGGCAGTGAGGGAAGAGGCGGTGATTCCTGGTGATGAAGGACTTCTGTCTTCAGGGCTGCTTGCTGATGGATGCCTCCCACACTGGCCTCCTGGTCCCTGGTATAGGCTGTCTGAAGCAGGGGCTCAGAATATGCCAAGTCCTGCAGACATAGGATATTGAGATGAGCAGCAGGCAGACTGCTTACCCACTGATAGTGTTTGGTCATAGAGTTGGCTGCTGCTAATTCTCCGAGGCCTGCAGTGGGCACAGCTGCTGATACAGAGCAGATAACGTTACGCATTTGAGCAAGCAGCATCTGAGTCTCTTTGTCCCTGTTTTCATACAGGACAGTGTTTGCACATATCAGGATGAAGAGTCCGACTCCCATGATGACTGGCCCCAGGAGCTTCATGCGGTCACCATGGAGGAGACCCGATGTAGAGAGGAGTCCCTTGGTGTTTAGACTCCAGCCAGCCGGCTGCGGATCAGAAATGCTCTCCTGTTCTGCATCTTCTGGGATGGATGACCTTGAAAAGCGATACGGCCAGTAGCCAGCTACAGCCAGAGCAGCGCCGACGGCCACCACCACCACCCCCAGCACCAGGAACGCTCCAGGCATGGAACGGATGCGGAGCTTGCCTCGAATCATCCTGTTCTTCTTTGTTCTGCCACGCAGACGGAAACGGGGCCTCCGTCTGCAGGGGGGCGATTGCGGCGTAATGTCTCGGCAATTCTGAGTCTTCATGGCACAGCTCCGTTCGACCGTCTGGTCCTGCTCAGACTAGGACAGGAGTCTGCAAGAAAAGTACATTTTAAGAATGAATGCACCTCAAAGCTAACTCACCAGCAGAACAACAACAAAAAAACAATAATAATAGCATAACAACTGCATAATGCAGAAGACTCAGCCATTGTGGGGTGTATCAAGGAGAACAGAGAGTACAGGAGTCTGATGGGGACTTTGCGTCCTGGTGCTGCACAAAACACCTGGAAATCAACATCTTTAAGATGAAGGAGCTGCTCATAGATTTTGGGAAGAACGGACCAAAGACTAAGCCGGTACTACTGGAGGGGGCTGAGGGATGTGGCTGGATAATATACTGGACTGCTTTATTGCTTATCATGAAGGATGTGGTTACAGGACATATGAAGATTAGGTGAGGGGTTATTTCAGGTTCAATATTGCAGAAGGAACAAGTTGGATTTATTTTAAGATATTTAGCTATTTCATGATTTGTAGGACAGATGTTATAAAGAATTTTGAGATGAATTTCACAGATTTTATTGTTAATGGGTTATTGATGATGTGACCATGATTTGCTCCAGTCTATTCTATAAAAAATAGAGTTCCAGTAGAATTTGCCTCTTGGTTGGAGGCATTTGGATTGTTGAAATTTGTTGTGTATGTGTTTGCTATTGTATTTTGTGGCAAGAAAAAGCAGTCTGTTGAGAAACAATTTGGTGGTCAAATTTGGTGTAGTTTGTAATAATTTTAATAATTGGTAGTCGATTGGGGTATAATTGATTTGTATTCCTTGTATCTTTTTGGAAACTGATATTTCATCAAAAAGTGAAGACATCACTGAAGCCTACAGGCTATTTATTACCACCATCTACAACGCTGGGATGGAATTTTACACCTAGTGGTCTCCCTTTTCTTAGGGAGAAAATCTTCCGTTGCACTACCCTCACTGAGTGTGCTTTACTGTGGTGAAGTACAAGTGAAAGAAAGTGAGAGAAATGTGTCTAAGTCTATCTATTTAAGGCTCTTTCACAAATAAATATCCTGAAGAAAAAATATGCTGAGAAGCATGTAAAAATAAACTAAACAGAGAAATATTTGACTGCAACTATTAGAGCTTCCTCTACATAATCATCTCCATTCACCTTTATTACAAACAGCATCTGAGTGAGGTGTTGATGTTATCACCCATCAAGCCCAATGCATCTTTACCCCACTTTTAAACACTCTATGGAACACACAGTGAAATGAGGGCTATGGAGCGTTTCACTATTTTAGCTCAACTTGCTCTAATACTTCAGACTCTGATTGTCTTGGTCCTGGCGTTATGTTTGGCTTTTTTCATCTGCCCCTGCTCACCTGTCTAATTGGCCCTTGTTTCAGCTGGTTCCCACAGCTATTTATGCTGTTTGTCATGGTGGTTTTCAAATGCTTAACCCACATGCATAAGCACACTCAGAGGCACGGAAAAAGTTTAACAGTTTATTGAAATGAGAGGGCTCAGAGAGACAAAACAGTAATTTTCTCAGCCAGGGGAACATCCGGCAGGTCTGGTGAACTGGAAGCGGAATCTCTAGGAGGAGATCAGAGTGGTGAGTTCAAGGTCCATAGGAAATTACTTGTTGATACAGAAAAGTTGCCTGATCAGAACTCAGCGTAGAGGTTAGCGGTTGCTCCTTGGTTCCTGTTTGTGGGGGGCTTGTTCTCAATAGGTGATTACTTGCTGGAGGGAGGACAGGCAGGCTTAAGATGGTCCTGAGGAGTAGCGGAGCAGACAGGTGAATTGTTACTTTTCCTCAGAGAGACGAACAAAATCCTTCCAAGGCTTGAAGGTCCAGGCTTATCCAGAGGATTTGGGGATTACCCTGCCGGAGACCACAAGAGAGACAAAAGGTTAGAACTTGGTGACTCAGAGAAACAAAAACTCAAAGATTAGACTCTGCTTAACCCAGAGGGGCTAGAGTACCCAATACTGGCAAACACTCTGGCGAGGAGATGGTGACAGTCTGCTGCTCAAATACTCCTCAGATGGTGATGACCAACGAGCTGCAGGTTTGAGTAGTTGAGAGCAGGAAGAGGCCCTCCAGGCCAATAGAGGAATAATGGCACCATCTGGTGGATTCATGGAGACACTGAAAAGAGAATACAAAACAACCCCCACAAACTGGAACCCAAACACTGTTTGCTTGCCTGCCATCAGCACCAGACTATTCTAGCTGTTTCTGTGAGAGTTACTCTACAGTTAAAGTAAGTATTTTGACTTTTTTGATTCTGACCTGTTTTCTGCCTCTGTATTTTTATTTTTGCCTTTTCCCTGCCTGTTCTGTTCAGTTAGATTTTTGGTTTAACTTCCTGGATTTATCTGGTTACCGGACTTGAACTTTTTTACTGACTTAGGCTTGGATTCTCCTTGGATACCTCCTCGGCTCTCTGATCTCCTGGTCTGTGAAACTGGTTTGGACTGCACTTAGGCTTTAGATTACCCCTCATGGACACTATTAATTGCTCGGCTTCGGCTGGTGCGAGTTCCCCTGCACCCTGTGCTCTGAAGCGGTAACGTCGCAAGCGGCGGACAACCTTCCCCCGGTTTCTTCCTGTCTCTCTGAATCGGACTGGACTCTCAACCAGGTCAGTGACTTTTCGTCCAAGTCTTTATCAGCTCAACATTCTTGTCACTGACCTAAGTTTCCTGTTTCTGCAGAGAATCCGATAATCCGCTTCGATTAAGTTCTGTCGCTCTCTTTTGTTCATATAAACAAACTTGTTTCACACCGTCCTGTTTGTCTGCTGAATTTTGGGTCCAAACTTCTACGGTTGTTAAACTTTTGCTCTTCTACAAATCAAACACAGCAAAGCATTTTCGCCGTCCTGGTTAAATGAAAATACTCCCTCTGTCAAACATAAGACAAGAAGGGCTAAGAAACAGAAAAAAGGACAGTCGTAAAGAATACCAAATGTAAGGGTTGTTTTATAATAAGGTTGGTTTATAATCCAGACTTTTGACCTAATTTATTGATCAATTTATCTAAATCTTTAATCTCACCAGGCTTACATTTGTTATAGGAGCCATTCATTTATAATTTTCTTAATAATATTAGAAGTAAAATGCCCTGTTATACAGCCCACCTTAAACATATGACCCAAACATTTATGTCAGAATCAAACAGTTTCAAGCTCTCAGACAGATGAAATAGAAACCTGGGAGCGTGAATGCCACTCCAAAGCTGTGAGTGAAATCACTGAAGAAGTGAAACAGATGTACTTTCTTGGAGATAATTGGACTGTAAGCTTGACAATATGCTACAAACTAACAGCCTTTAAAATAGACACAGGGGCTTATGCTAGTCAACAATGAAAGGATATTTAAGAAGAAAAAATCCAAAGTACAACTGAATCCTCCTGACACAGGCTTCTTCAGCCCAGGAGGTGACATCAGGTGCACAGGGATGTTGCAGACTACCACCACTTACAAAGAGAGACTGTATACATTCCCAGTGTTTGTGATAAAAGGGAAAAGAAACTGCCTACTCAGCTGCCCTGAAGCTGTGGCAATGAGTTTAGTGAGGCAAGTGGATGAGGATAATGGTGTTTTTGGCTCCAGTGGACAACTGAAAACAGAGCCCGTGATAATAGTCTTAAAAGAGGATGCTGAGCCATATGCAGTGCACACAGCCAGGTGAATACCTCTACCGCTTTTATCACTGGTAAAGAAAGAACTGCAGCGCATGGAGAATAAAGGCATTATTGAGAAGGTTACACAGCCAACAGAGTGGTGTCCTGCAATGGTGCTAAAGCCAAATAACAGAGAAGTTTGATTGGGAAGTGGCTGTTCCAATTGTTGCTTCTCCCGAGTGGTCCCCGACGAGTTAATTAAGTGAATGTGATTGGTTGATTATCAAGAGGGCTGGACTGTTGTGGCGGAAGGTTCGTAAGCAAGTTTGGTTGTGGCCGGTTTGTCGGAAGCATCTTGCTAACCAGTTAACAACTTAGTGCTAGTAGGTTCCCAATGGGAAATTCCATTGGGACGCCTGCCAAAGACAGGCAGGCGTAAAGCTGTTGGGATGTAACTCAATGGTAAAGTAAATTATTCTTATTTCACCCGTTGTGTATATTAGCTGTGAAGTATGAATCAAGATGCTATGATAAAGCTTTTAAGACAGGATTGTTTTCAAACAGACATTTTCTAAATTTTGTGACAATATAGTCTGATAAAGAATACATTTATATCCATGTTTAAGCCAGAATGATTTGACATTTAAATATGACTTCCCTACGACATTAAGATAATGAGCAGAGCTGTGAAGTGTGAAAAGTATGTGATGCCCACTGCAGAGGAAGTAATGCCAAGGCTGGCAGGGTCAAAGGTGTTCACATCATTGGATGCAGCAGGTGGATTTTACCAGATTTCCCTGCATGAGAACAGCAGGAATTCGATTACTTTCATCACCCCATTTGGGAGGTACGCCTTTCGCCGCCTCCCGTTTGGGATAACAAGTGCTGCTGAAATCTTCAAAAGGGAAAATGGCGGAAACCTTAGCAGGTCTTGAAGGGACGGAAGTCTACATGGATGACATCCTTATACATGGAGAAAAAAGGAAATCCATGATCCTCTCAGTGCTAACAGAGCATTGAGAGTCATCGAAGCAGCAGGTCTGGCTAATTGAGGCAAAATGTTAAGGCAGAAACAGGTCCATTTCCTGGGCCACCTCATCGATGAGAAAGGCATCAGACCTGATCCAGAAAAGGTAGCAGGGATAGAAAATTTTCCCCAACCTAAGAATGTTACTGAGTTGAAAAGGTTCCTGGGGATGGTCAATTATCTGGCAAAGTACGTCGCAGAGCAGCTGAACTTAAACCTGCACTAACCACCGCTCCTGTCCTCATCTTCTACGACGTCGCCCAGCCTACAGTAGTCTAAGCGGATGCCAGCAGCTGTTTCCAATGGAAACCCATGAGCAACTGCTCCCGATGTCTGAGTGATGCTGAGACAAGGTATGTGCAAATTGAGAAGGAATGTTTAGCCAGAGTATAGGCTTGTGAAA